CCGGAGTGGGCTCTGGGGAAAATGGGAAATGGGCTCTGTGCTGTGCAGTGTCAGCCAAATCCCAAACCTCCTCCTGGGCTGCACTGCCCAGAGCAGCCCCAGGGGCAGGGCAGGGGTCTCCAGCTGGGAGCAGACACTGATCCCAGCCCGGGGCCTCCCCAGATCGAGCAGGTGAGCCAGCTGTCAGCCCTGGTGGATGCACAGCTGGATTACCACAGGCAGGCCGTGCAGATCCTGGACGAGCTCGCCGAGAAGCTCAAGCGCAGGTGAGTCCTGGGGTGCTCCCGTGGGAGCACCTGAGCCCCCCTTGGAGTCACAGAGTCCCACGGTGGGTGGGGTAGGGAGGGACCTTGAGGCTCATGGAGCAGGGACACTGCCACTGCCCCAGGCTGCTCTGAGCCCTGGCCAGCCTGGCTTTGAAAAAGCCAATTCCTTTGGCTGTTCCCAGGGGGATTTGAGTTTAGTTGGGTGTCTGATCCCAAATCCTGGCTGAGGAAGGCTCGTCCCACCTCTCCTTCCTCAGCCTCCCCTCTCTGGGGAGGACCTGGCAGTGCTGCCCTGCTGCTCTTCCCTCCTGGGGGAAACTGCAGAGTGGATCCTGTGCCTGCCCTGAATTGGGAGGAGCTGGAAGGATCCTGCCAAGTCTGAGCTTTCAAACTACAGCACGAGTGTCCTCTGCTGGCCTGAATTCCTGAGCATTCCATAGCAAAAACTGGGATGTGTGGGCCCTCCCAACCCCAAACCCTGGGGAAACCCCAAACCTTCCAAAGGCTCCAGCACAGGCACTTGTGCAAATCCATGTCTACAAATCCGTGTCTACAAACCCCGGGAGGATGAACACGGTGTTGATCCCACCCTGTTCCACTCCTGATTGCCCTTTCCCACGTCTTTGTGCCTGTCCCAGGATGAGGGAGGCCTCCTCACGCCCCAAGCGGGAATACAAACCCAAGCCCAGGGAGACGTACGACTTCAGGGAGAGCGACCAGTCCAACGGGGGCTTCCCCTGCAACCCCACCCCCAAAGTCTCAGGTAACGTGGTCCCAGGTGTGTGCTGCTGCCTGTGGAGCAGCCTCCCAGGGGAGGAGGGCAGCTGCTCTGCCTGCACAGGCTGCTCCTGCTGTGCTGGATGCTGGAAGACGTCGGGACTGCCTCTAGACCGGGCTGTGTTCTCCTGGGAACCAGGAGCCTTTGCCGTGTTGGCTTTGGGGATGTGCCAGAGGGGTCTCCAGCCTGGGCCTCTCGCTGTCAGTGCCAGACAGGAAAACTGAAGCCTCCCTCCCTCCCTCCCTCCCTCCCTCCTTGTGTTCCATCCCGCTGCTCCCTCCCTCCTTCCCTCCCTCCCTGATCCCCGCGGGTTCCTAACAGCATGGGGACCCTGCTGTTTGTCCTAACAGATCCCTCTGGGCCCTGCCTGTCCCTGTCCCCGTTCCCCTTGGTTGAAGCATGTCTCTCTTTTGTTTGGAAGCAGCTTCCACCTCTTTCCGGTCGGACAAGCCGTCCCGGGCCTCCGTCAGGAGTATCCGTGAGTTTCCTCCCTCTGCACTGCCCCGTGTGTGGCCTGTCCCTGTCCCTGTCCCTCCTGCCTGCTCCTCCCTGCTGCTGCTGCTGCTGCTGCTCCTTGGAGCTGCTCATCCCCCCCGTGCTGAGCCTGAGCTGAGCCCTGAATTAACCCAGCCACGCTCCAGTGGGATTTTCCACCCCAAAACCAGGCCTGGCTCACCCAGGGGAGCTGCAGCAGCTCCCAGCACCCAGGCGTGTCCTGATCCCTGGGGATCAGGTGCTTTCCCATGAGAGATCAGACACTCCAAGGATTTCCCTGCTCTTACCCAGCCTGGATCTCTCCCCCTCCTGCTCCCTGTGTCCCTGTGGAGGCTGGAGGGAGGAGGCAGAGCCTCAGCTCATGGAGTTCGTGGGGTGTGGTCCCAGCTGGGCCTCAGGGGCATTGTGGGGTGATGTGGGGTCTGTGGTTCCTCCTGCAGGACCTTGGGACCCGCGGGCTGGGCTGGGGCTGGGGCTTGGAGCTGCTGTGCTGGGAAGGAGCCTGGAGCAGGGCTGTGGTGGTGGGGAGCAGCCTGGTGATTTTGGGGAGTTCTCTCGAACCCATCCATGTCCTGCTGCTGGTTTTTGGTGATTTCTGAGTGCTCTCCTCGTGCTGGGCCCTCCCTTGCTGTGGCTCCTGGAATCATGGAATGGTTTGGGTTGGGAGGGACCTTCAGGACCATCCCATGGCACCCCTGCCATGGCAGGGACACCTCCCATAGCCCAGCCTGTCCAGCCTGGCCTTGGACACTTGCAGGGACACTCAGCAGCCTGGGGCTGCCCTTGCTGCCATTCCCTGCCCTGGCTGAGCCCTCAGCACAGTGGGGAGGGCTGGGGGGTCCTGCAGGCCCTGGAGGTCTCCCTTAGCTCCTTTTCCACTGGGATCCTACCAGCTCCAAAGCTGAGTCCCACAACGTCAGTGCACAGAGTGAGGAGCAGGAAATCCCACAGAAAATCCCTTTGCAGCCGAAAGGTGATGCTGAAATCCTGGAGCTGAGCTGGGAGAATGAGACCTGGGGCTTCTCCCAGGCTTTGGGGGGCTGCTCATGGGTTTGAAGTGCCATGACCAGGGAGACACAGGACAGCTGTCCTGTCCCTCCTGTCACCCTCAGGTGTGGGGTGACCCCTGCAGAGTCCCCCTCCATGTCCAGCCCCACCACTGAGCTGCAGGGCAGGTTCTCTGCTCTCCAGAGGGATAATCAGGATTCGGGTTGGAATGCAGGAACCCGGGCAGGAGCAGCACAGGAGTGTTGGAAGCAGGACCTGTGCTGGGCCAGGGGCTGGAGGGGGATAACCGAGGGACAAGGGCCAGTGGAAGCAGCCCTGCCAGTGCAGAGCCCAGGCAGGAATCCCTGGTGCCAGGGCAGGGGTGTGTGGGGTCCTGCTGACGTGTCCCCCCTGTCCCCACAGCCCCCCTGGACCAGCCCTGCTGCAAAGCCCTCTACGACTTCGAGCCCGAGAACGACGGCGAGCTGGGCTTCAAGGAGGGCGACATCATCACCCTGACGAACCAGATCGACGAGAACTGGTACGAGGGGATGATCCACGGCCAGTCCGGCTTCTTCCCGCTCAACTACGTGGAAGTGCTGGTCCCGCTACCTCAGTGAGAGGCGCCGCTCCCGCCCCGAGTGTCCCGAGCTCCATTCCAGCTCCAGCCCCGCCCTCCCCGCCTCTCCTCGGGGCCAGGCGCTACCAGGGAACAAACCAGAAGGGTCCCACGGCCCCTTCCCCCCGTGAATTTGGTTCTTTTCTTTTTTTTTTTTTTTTTTTTTTTTTTTTTTGGTTTTTCTGTCCTTCTGGTGCTTGAACATCGGTACTTTGCGCGCCCCCAGCCCTGGCTGTGCCACCGGCACTGCCCTGTCCCCATCCTTGTCCCTGTCCTTGTCCCTCTTCCCGCCTTTCCTTTGGGTACAGCGCCCCAGATGAGCCAGGTGGGACATCCAGGATGTGTCTGGGACACACGGCCCTGGGCCAGGGCAGCCCCAGCCCCAATCCCACCCTCCTGCCCCAGCCAGCACTGCCCCTGTCCCCAGGGATCCCAGAGGGATCAGGGGAGGGGAGCTGGGGCACAGCAACACTACAACACCCAGGAACACTAAGGCAGCCCTGCAGGGCAGGTGCTGAGCCCTGCCTGGGGCTCGGGGACATCCCTGGGGCTTGGGGACATCCCTGGGGCTTGGAGCCATCCCTGGGGCTTGGAGCCATCCCTGGGGCTCGGGGACATCCCTGGGGCTCGGGACCATCCTTATCTCTCAGAGCCATCCTGGAGGGACAGGAGGAATGTCCCCTTGCCCGCCTGGCCCCCTCCTCACAAAGCTCAACCCCGTGAGGGGAGGCAGCTCCTTCTGCCCATGTTTTTTTCCTGGACCTCAGGCTTTTCCTGCTGCAAACTCTCCCAAGTCGGTCCCAGCTGCAGGGGGAGGAGCTGGGCCACAGCCCGGGGTGTCTCTGCTGGGCCAGGGGTTGTGGCTCCTCTGCACGTTCCCCTTTCCCGGGGATCCCTGCTGTGGCTGGGGCTCACCTGGCCCTCAGGTGCCTTCCCTGGGCACAGCCCCCCTCCCTGGGGACACTGCACCCCTCTGCCCTGGATTGGTGGGGAAAGGGATGGTTCATCTCAGTGTCACTTCTGCCACCCCTTATCCCTCAGCTGTCCCTTTGCTGGCCAGGAGCTGGGGCTGGGGTGGTGCTGCAGAGCAGAGCTCGGCTCCCTGGTTTTCCTAAAGTGGGTTCTGCTCCTCCAGGGGCTGGGAGGAGCCCCAGCCCCGCTCTGTGAGCCCCCAGCCCCAGCTCAGTGCTGGGCTGTGCTGCAGCCCCCCTGTCCCTGCTGCTCTTGCTCCTCTGTAAGGATTTGGTCCGTGCATGTCCACGTGTGTCTGACCCCGAGCAGTGACCCCCGGCCCCAGGGGGGCACAGGGCAGCCCAAGGGACCTGAGCGAGTCCTGGGGACCCTTCCTGCTGTCCCCTCCCCGATGGGACCAGGGTCACGTCCTGGGGACACCCTCAGGTGGATTGAAACGTGTTCTGTCAGCTGGGACAACTCGCTAGGTCTTTTGTTTTGTTTTGTTTTTGGTTTTTTTTTTAATGTAATGGTTTCTCCTGGTTTTTAGGGGAAAAAGTGATGACCCACAATTCTTGACTTGTATCTCTGAATGAAAGTATTAAATGTTTTCTTCTTTCTAACGGCTGCATGGTGGAATCAGGGAATGGTTCGGGTTGGATGAGACCTGGAAGGTCATGGCAGGGACACCTTGGACTGTCCCAGGCTGCTCCAAGCCCCATCCAACCCGGCCTTGGGCACTGCCAGGGATCCAGCTGCTCTGGGAACCTGTGCCAGGGCCTGCCCACCCTCCCAGGGAGGAATTTCCTCACACGTCCCCTCGGTGCAGGCCATGGCAGGATGTCCCCAAGCCAGCGGAGCCGCCTCTCAGGAACTGCTCTTTAATCCAACTGCTCTTTAATCCAACTGCTCTTTAATCCAACTGCTCTTTAATGGAACTGCTCTTTAATCAAACTACCGCTGCCACAAACCACTGACCCCGAGACTCCCGGAGCAGCGGGGCCGCCCCCGGGGCCGCCGGGGCCGCGGGAGCTCCGGGAGCTGCCCCGGGCCGGGCTGGCTGAGCCCCGGGGCTGCCGAGCCCCGCCGGGGCTGCGGGAGGCACCAGGTCCGAGTCGGGGACCCCGGGCCCTCACCCGCTGAGCTTGAGGAGGCTGAAGATCTGCTCCAGGATGTGGGTGAAGCTCTGGTCTTTGGGGGTGCGAGAGGCCAGGGAGCCCTGGATGGGGGAACCCCAGTTAATTCCAGCACAGGGAACTGGTGTCACTCCAAAGCCCCCCCTCCCCTCCCGGCCCTTCCCACCTTCAGCTTGTCCAGGTAAGTCTGATCCTGACTCCACAGCTCCTGGAACTTCACCAGGTCAGGGGCCCCCTTGTAGAACTCCACCAGCAGCGTCTGGGGGGGAACAGAGGGGCTGCAGGCCCTGGGGGTGCCCCAAAGCCAGGCAGGGGGACCCCAAAACTGAGACCTTGGTGGCCCCGGAGGGGGGGCGGGCCTGGAGAAGGGACTGTCACCATCACCAGGGCTAAGGGCAGGATGGGGACAAAGGTGGGGCTGCAGCCCAGCCTCGATGGACTCAAGGGGTTTTGGGGACCCCCAGCCCTGTCTCACCATCTCCTGCACGACGTCGTTGGTGAGGAATCCGTCCTGGATGTAGGTGACCTCCACGTCCATGGGGATCCCGTAGTCATTGGGCCTTTGCTGGAGGATGGGGGAGCCAGGCAGGGATCACCCCACAGCTCTGGGGCCCGACACCACCCTGGGGGACACCTGACGGGGGACCCCACCCCAAATTCCTCCCTACTTACCTCTGGCGGTGGCATCACCCAGAAGGGAGCGATTTTGGACTCCACGCCGGGGTTGCCGTGGTAGAAGGGCCCTGTGGGGACAGAGGGGGCTGGCACAGGGGGCTGAGAGCAGCCGCAGCCCCCTGGGACCCCCGGGCCCCGGGCCCGTACCGCAGATGAGCCCCAGGCAGGGCTGGAAGCCGTTGCCGCTGCCCTGCAGCTTGAGCTGATAATCCATCTGCGCGTCGATGTCGTGCAGGGACGGCAGCGCGGGCCCGAAGGGGTGGCTGTGGTACCACCCCACCAGCGACAGCCCCCGCAGGAACAGGCTCTGGCAAATCTGGGGGGGCACAAACCGTGGGTCCAAGACCCTCCAGAGCGCCCCCCGGCCGCTCCCGAGGCTGGATCAGCCCCTCACCTCCTCCTCCACTGCGCCCGCGGCTTCGGCGTCCCCCAGGCGGGTCCGGCACGGGAAGGCTCGGAGCACCGTGAGCACTGCGGGGACACGGGGCTGGTGACACCCCCCAGCCCACGGCTGAGCCACCCCCATCCCCTCAAACCCCACCTACACTGCGTGTTGGTGTCCCACCGGCCCCCCAGGTACCCCACCACTTCGCTCCGCGTCAGGTGGCTGTGGAAATCCTAAAGGAAAAGTTAAAATCAGCAGTTTAGCGCTAAAACGATGACACAAGGGACATGCCGCTCGCCGCGGGTGTCCCCCAGTGCCATCAACCATGTCCCAGCCTGGGGAGGGGACGCACCAGGAGCAGGAGGACGTTGCTGGAGATGGCCACGTTAAAGGGCTGGAATTTGTTGATGGCGGCAAAGGACGTCACCTCCACCAGGGTCTGGGGGTTCCTGCAAGAGCCACAGCCCCGCTGCCACCGCTGTCCCCGGCCCTGCTGCGCCCCGTGTCGCCCGTGTCCCCTACCTGGCCGAGTCGCGGGTGCCCAGGGTGCAGTAGCGGACGGGCACCCGGGGTTTCACCTCCAGCCTTTTCCCTGCGGTGCCGGGATCTGCCGAGGACAAGGTCCCGTCACCGCGGCCGGGCTGCCCGGGACCCCCGGGACCCCCACGGCCGCTCACCCGTCCCCGCCGGCTCCGTCAGGCTCTTGCTCTGCTGTTTCTTGCTCCTCTCCTCCGGTTTTTTGGGAGCCGCCGGCTCCGGCAGCGGCACCCGACCTTCCCTCGCCGCCTCCTCTTCCTCATCCTCAGGCAGCTCCTCCTCCTCGCCCTCGCTGGCCAAGCTCTGCGGGCACACGGGGCTGGCACCCAGCTCGCCCCGCAGCCTGGGGGTGCCAGGGGGAGGTGACCCCGATCCCACCTCCTCGGGGGGTGGCACGTTGGGCTGGTGCTTGCGCAGCCACGCGGCTTTGTACTGGTCCAGCTTCTGGCCCTTGTAGCGCACGGACGCCCAGCCGCAGCCCGACTTCTTGGCAGGATTCACCAGGCGCTTGCAGTGCGTGGCCCAAGCGCTCGGCGAGTTGAACACCTGCCCCGTTTCCTGCCAGGTGATCGTCCCGTCCGAGCCCAGGTCCCCCACGAACTTCTTGCCCTGGGGACAATGGCAGGAGTCGCATTTCCCTGTGCCCATCCCTTCTCCCTCAACCCCATCACTGTCCCACGTTCACCATCCGTGTTCCTTGTCCTCATCGACATCCCCTGTCCTCATCCTGTGCCCCGTTTCCCATCTCTTTCCCTGTTCCATCTCTGCCCCATCTCTGTCTCCTGCCCCATCTGTTTCTTGTCCCCATCCTTATTCCTTGTCCCCATCCTTATTCCCAGTCCCCATCGCCTCTCCCCTGTCCCCATCGCCTCTCCCCTGTCCCTGTCCCCATTCCCTGTCCCCAGGCTCACCAGGTAGTAGATGGACAGGACGCCCCTGCCCGGCTCCAGGAGCCCATCTCGGAGCAGGACCCTCAGGGTGATCCCTCTGCGGGTCAGAACGGCCCCCCGGGGCCCCCCCGCCGCCTTCGCGCCGCTCCCGACCTCCGGCTCGGCCTCGGCCTCGTCCAGCCCCGGCTCCAGCTCATCCTCATCCTCTTCCAGACACTCGTCCCCACCGGGGGAGGCGGCCGCCAGCGCTGCGGAGGGCGGGGGGGACACGTTGTGGCAGCACCCCTGAAGTGTCCCCCCAAAACACCCCTGGGTGTCCCCCCAAAACACCCCTGGGTGTCCTCCCCCATGTTTTCTGCCTGCGGATGGGGACACGGGGACGGGAAGAGGTGGGCATAGGGACACAGGCACGGAGGGGACACAAGGACATGGAGGGGCAGGACACAGGGACAGGGAGACTCGGGGATGGGAGACACTGACGTGGGGAGACGGGGGCTGAGGACACAGGAGAGTGACAATAAAGGACGGCGGACACGGCTGAGGGGTACAGGAACGGGCTGGGGGACACGGGGACGTGGGGACATGGTCGGGGGACACGGGGCTGAGTGTCCCCTGGCCCAGCAGGTCCCCAGAGCCCGGTCTGAGCCCAGAGAGCTGCGGGGGAGGCCGGCGGTGACACACGACAGGTCCCGTCCCCGGGGGAGGGCTGTCCCCGCCCCGCCCCGCCCCCGTTCCGCTGCTGCCCCCGGGGTGTCCCGGGATGTCCCCACCGGGTCCCGCGGGCTCGGGCAGGTGCACGCGCGTGCCCTGGGTGTGTGCGGGGAGGGGCGAGTGACCGGTGCGTGTCCCCGGCCGGGGCGCGTGTCCGTACGCGCGTGTCCGCTTCCCGGTCCGCTCCTGGCGCGTGCCCGGTACCGCGCGCCCGGTGCGTGCCCGGCGTGCGCGTGCCCGGTACGTGCTCGGTGCCCGGTGCGTGCCTGGTGCGCGCGATCCCGGTGCGTGCCCTGTGCCCGGTGCGTGTCCGATCCCCGGTTCCCAGTTCCCAGTTCCCAGTTCCCGGTTTCCAGTTCCCAGTTCCGGACCCGCAGCCCGGTGCCCGGTGCGCCCCCGCCCCCCGGTACCTGCCATGCTCCGCTCCCGCCGCTCCCGCCGCTCCCGCCTCCCCCCGGTGCGCGCGGCGGCGGCGGCGGCGACACGTGATGGGGCGGCCCCGGGCGCCCCGCCCCGCCCGGGGGGGGTGAGGGGACACCGGCACCGGGGGGGGGGGACAGCCCCGCACCTGCAGCACCGGGCGGGAGGGGACACGGGGACTCAGCCCCGCACCGAGACACGGACCCCCCCTCCCGGCGGGACCCCCGCCCGCCGCCCCTCGCCCCGGCCCCGGGGAGGAAGGGGGACACCGGCACCGGAACCAGGCGGGGGGACAGGCGGGAACCTGCTGGGTTCGCCCCCGCACCTGCAGCACCGGGCGGGGACACGGGGGCTCAACCCCGCGCCGGGGCGCGGACCCCGCCCGGCGGGGACGCCCCCACCCCGGGGAGGGGCACGGGGGACACCGGGGGCGGGAACGGGAGAGGAACCGGGAGCCTGCTCGGGGCTCAGCCCCGCACCTGCTGCGCCCGAAGGGAGGGACAGGGGGCTCAGCCCCGCACCGGGAATGCGCCGGCCCGGCCGGGACACCCGCCCGCCGCCCTTCGCCCCGGCCCGGGCGGGGCCGGTGCCGGCAACTGCGGGTGGCGGAGATGGAGCGGCCGGTGCCGCTGCCCCGGAGGATCCGACCCCGGGCCCGGCACTACTACGAGGGCTTCGTGAACAAGCGAGGGCCGCGGGATCAGGTGGGCGACACAGCCGGGACCGACACCGGCACCCCCGGGACCGACACCGGCACCGACACCGGCACCCCTGGGACCGACACCGGCAGCCTCCGCACCGATACCTGGGACTCTGCGGGACTGGGCGCCAGGAGCGACCCTCGGGTACCCAGGACCTGTTCCCGGGACCGCTCCCGACACTCCCAGGCACTGTCACCCCCGGGACCGACTCCGCCGCCCGGGGACACCGGGTGTGTTCCCCGCGGAGCCCGGGGCCGGTTCCCTTTTCCTGGTGCCAGTGCCGGTTCTCAGCTCCCGGTTCCTCGTGCCTGATTCTCCCTGCTTGGCTCCCGGTTCCCGCTTCCCGATGTCGGTTCCCGCTTCCCAGTGTCGGTTCCCGCTTCCCAGTGTCGATTCCCGGTGCCGGTAAGGAGCTGAGCCCGTCCTTCCCCGCAGGGCTACCAGAGGGTCTGGGCCGGGCTGCGGGGGCTCAAACTCGCCTTCTACAGGTTGCCCCAGGACCAGGAGGTACGAGGGCTTCTCCAGGCAGGATCCCCGGGGCTGGGACCCCCGCACGGGCTGTCCCGCCCGGGACCCGCGGGATTTCTCCATGCCGGGACCCCCGTGGGACCCCCAAAGCTGGAGGCACCCCTGGGCTGGGACCCCTCAGGGTGGGATCCCTGTGTCCCCTCCCCGAGCTGGGACCTCTTTGGTGAAACCCCCCAGGATTGGGGACCCCTCCCCATAAACCCTCCTGGGATGGGACCTTCAGGGGACACTGGGGGGTCCCCGGGCTGAGGGTGGGGGTGGCCCGGCCTGACGTGCTCGTGTCCCTGGGCCGGGGGCTCCCACCCTTGGGTGCTCCCAGCCCCTGGAGGTGCTGGACCTGGGCGAGCTGGTGACCGTGCAGGCCGAGGGCGGGGCTCTCGTGCTCAGGCTGAGGGGACAAGAGGTGACAATGAAGGTGAGGGGCGGCCACGGGGGGCTGGGGGCACCCTTTGACAATGGGGGTACCTGGAGGGGGGATCAGGGGGTGCAGAGGGGACAGGATTTCAGGACTGGGGGGACAAGGGGGGACAAGGGTTTTGGGACAGGGACTGCAGGGGGGCACTGAGGAGCGTAAGGGAAAGATTTAGGGATAGGATTTGGGCCTGGGGGGCAGAGGGGGAAGGATTTGGGGGTACAGGAGATGCAGAGGGATGGGGAGCTGTGGGATTTGGAGCCAGGCTTAGGGGACTGTGGAGACCTGTGAGAGGACACAAGGGACAGGGGACGGGCCCCCCTCATGTCCCTGTGTCCCTTGGCAGGTGGAGAACTGGGAAACGCAGGAGATGTGGCGAGGATTCATCCTGACCATGACCAAGGTGGGCGAGGGTCGCTGCCCGGGGGTCCTGGGGTGACAGGGACCCCTGTGTGCCACCACCCCGTGTCCCCCCGCAGATGAGGATGCCCCGGGACCTGGCGCTGCTGCCCGGACACAACGTGCAGCTCCTGGAAGCTCTGAGGGAGGAGCGGGAGCGCAGGGGGACCCCCGTGTCCCCCGCCAGCCCCGTGTCCCCGGTCACACCGGTGTCCCCGGTCACACCCGTGGTGACACCCGTGTCCTCTGCCACACCCGTGTCCTCTGTCACACCCGTGTTCTCTGTCACACCCGTGTTCTCTGTCACACCGGTGTCCCCGGTCACACCCGTGGTCACCCCGGTGTCCCCCAGCTCCTCGGAGCCGTGAGTCGGGGGCTGGGGGGTTCCCCATCCTCACTGGGGGTGGCCCAGTGTGGCCAGCGGTGACACGGCAGGGCTGGGGGTGACAGTGGGGGGGGTCCCCAGGGTCCCCAGCTGCTTTTTCGAGGTGACGCGTTCCGAGGCCGAGCGGCTGCTGGAGCAGAGCGCGGGCAGGGGGAACCTTCTCCTGCGGCCGGGGGGACACGGCCAGGGGCTCTCGGTCACCATTCGCCAGGAGCACGACGGGTGCGTGCCAGGGGACACCGGGGGTGGCTCACAGGGGGAGGGATCTGTCCCCAACGGGGAGGGGCCCTGGGCGAGCCATGGCCCAGCCATGGGGGGCGGTTCCCAGGGTAAGGGGTGAACCTTAGAGGAGGTGGCCCCGGGGGAAGGGCTCCTCGCCAGGGGTGTCCTGCGGGGTCTGAGTGCCCCAAAAGGGGGTCCCCGGGCACGGGGGTCCCCGGGTAGGGGGTCCCCAGCCCCTGAGGCAGCCCCACCACAGGACAGCGCTGCTGAGGCACTACAAGGTGAAGAGAGAGGCCCAGGGCTACGTCATCGACATGGAGACCCCGGTGAGTGACACGGGGGACAGGGACCCCAACCCCCGGCACCCCCCTGAGCCCCCGGGGTGGGACCCTTGGGGTCACCCAAGGGACTGGCACCTTCTGGGCTGTTTCACCCCAAGGCTGGGCACCCCCAGGGAACACCCAAGGGTGGGACTAAGGGGCTGGGACCCCCAAAGAGCTGCAGCCAGGGGGGTGGGACGCCCCACGCAGGGCCTGGAGAGGCGGGCAGGGAATGGGGGGCGTGTGGGGGTCGCCGATGACGCCGTGTGTCCCCCCCCAGCATCGCTGCTCGTCGCTGGCAGACGTGGTGCAGTTCTTCGTGAGGAGGAGCAGGGGCAGCCTGCAGCCCCTGGACCCCGACTACAGCACCCAGCTGGGTGGGCACCGGGGCTGGGGGGCTCAGGGACAGAACTGGGGGGGTCGAGAGCAGCTGTGGGAGGCTGGGGAGGGGCAGGGAGGGGTGTCTGGGGGTACTCGGGGGAGTCTGGAGATTTGGGGGGCAGAGCTGCTGGGGTGTCGCAGCCTTGGGGGGGGGGGGGGGGGGGGGGGGGGGGGGGGGGCCCGGGCCCCCCCCCCCCCCCCCCGCTCTGCTGCAGAGTTCGTGCCCATGGAGGGGCCCCCCCCGCCGGCTGAAGCCGCTCCCAGGGCGCCCCCGAGGACCCTGAGTTTGGGGTTGGTTCCCGAGGAGAAAATCTACATGAACGACCCTGGTGAGGCCGCTCGGGGCTGCAGGAATGGGGCGGGAATGGGGCGGGAATGGGGTGGGGGCACCCCCGCACCGAGCCCGACCCCTCCCCACTGCCCCGGCCCCGCTGTCACCCCCCAGGCACAGAGAGGGGGACACCGTTGGGGAAGGGGGGGCACAGCATGGGGACACCGGGTGCTGTCACCGGCTCGGGGGACAATGGGGAGGAGCAGGGGGGGTTCCTGGGGGGCAGGGGGAGGGGGATTCTCTGCCAGGGGCTCACCCACCCCCCCCGCCCCCGGCACAGAGAGGACCCACGAGCTGCTCCAGGAGATGCACAGGAAGCTGCAGCTGCGCCAGATTCAGCTCAAGAACTGATGGGGACACTTTGGGGAGGCCCCATTTCCCCTCACTTTGTGCCAGCAGCCAGCGGGGGTAGCGAGGGCCCCCCCTCACCCTCAGGGAAAGCTGTCCCCAATGTCCCCTGGGGTAACACTGGGGAGGGGGGAACCCCCTCATGCTTGGGGGGGGGCACTGTGAATAAAAAACCTTGTGCCCACCCAGCCCCTTCCCGCTCCTGCAGTGCCATGGGCGTGTCACAGGGACCCCAAACTCCCCCCGTGCCCCATCCATGCCCACGTCACACCTACATCCCAATTTATTCTCCAGGCCAGAAGCAGCTCTCGGTGCTGGGGGGGCAAAGGGCCCCGGCGACACGGGGGGCACGGAGTGGGGGGGCCGTGGGTGGCCCCGGGGGTGGCAGAGCCCTGCAGGGCAGCGCTGGGGGTGCCAGGGGCAGGGGTACATTCAGTGCTGTGCCCTGGGGGGCTCAGGGCAGGCTGGAGCTGCTGGCCGTGCTGTTCCGCTTCTGCAGGCACCGCACGGCGCTGGGCACCTGCAGCCCCGACGTCACCTGGAAGCTGCCACACCACACCTGGGGACACGGGGGAGGGGCTCAGGGGGCTGAACCCAGCGCTGGCAGCACCCCCAGAGCCTCCAGCCCTGCCTCAAATTACCATGAAGGCTGGCAGCACCGGCTGCGAGAACTTGGCCTTGAAGGTGTGGAGCAGCTGCTTGGTCCGGGCGTTGTAGAAGGAAAGGAAACCTGTGGGAATGGGGGCACAGGTGGGCACGGGGTGGGCAGAGCCCCAGCACCGTGCCCGGGGTGGTGACAACGGTGGTGGCAATGCCCATGGTGGATGCTGGTGTCCATGCTGATGCCCATAGTGGTGGCAATTCCCGTGGAGGTGCCAACCCCATCCCCAGCCCAGCCCCAGCCCCAGCCCCAGCCCCAGCCCCACCTTCGTGGAAGTTGCAGTGGACGCCGATGCAGTCGGGCACGGGCACGTCGAGCGCCTTGGCCTTGTTGTTGTGCTTGGCACTGAAGCTGACCTGCAGCCAGTTGTTGAGGTGCAGGCACCAGGACGCCGAGGTCTTGCCCAGCTGGTCGAACTTGCCCAGGCTGCGATAGGCTACGCCCACGCCGAAGGCTTTGCTGTCGCGGTCGTACCGCACCTCCCAGTAGTGCTCGTCCCCGTCGATCAGGGTGTCCCCTGGGGCACGGCCACGGCTCTGCCCGGGGCACCCAGGGCGTGCCCTGCCCTGTCCCCACCCTGCCAGGGGTGCCCCCTGCCCCACCCGCTGTGCCCTGTCCCCTTCGTGCTCCCTCTCACCCCTGGGTGTCCCCTCCTCACCCACACTGCTGGGTCCCTCTCTTATCCCACCCTTGGGTGTCCCCCCCACACCCCCGGGTCCCCCTCTCACCCAGCACCGTGTAGGATTCAGCCGTGAATCGGTCTCGGCCCCCTCGGCCCAGGGACATCCTCTTGGGTGACTGCACCACCCTGGCACACAGGGACACAGGCAGGGTTGGCACTGCCAGGCCCAGGGACTGTCCCAGGGGGTCTGGGGGTGGCGTTACCTGGCAGGGGAGTTGGCAGGGGAGGCCGTCCTGCCCTTGCCATCCTTCTCACGGGCCTTGACGTCCTGCACCTTCCCGCCCGTGGCGTCCCACTCCACGCTCAGCTCCTCCACCCGCAGGTTCTGGTGGCAGGTGCTGGCATCCAGCCGGAACATGAACGCTGGGGACAGCCCCTGTCAGCAGAGCCTCGGCCCCTCCTGCCTGGCAACCACCCCACGAGGGTGGCACAGGGGCGACACGGGCACCTGCCACCCCCCCCAGACCCACCTCTGGTCTCCAAAGTGACCGGCTCCGAGAACTCGCCCGCCACCGCCTTGTTACACGCCCGGACCCGAAAGTTCATGTACTTCATGTCAAACTTCAGCCCTGTGGGCACAGCGGGGTCACAGGGTGGGCCATGAGAAGGGCACTGCCACCCCCATGTCCCCAAGAGAGCCTGGGACAGCCCCAGTGCCCGCCTGGCACCGGCTCCACCACTGCGCCCTCACCAGTGAGGGTGTACTCCGTGCCCTTGATGCCCTCGATGACCATCCAGGGCTGGTCCTCCTTGGCACGGGGTGGCCCCTCGAAGTTGGTCCTGCGATACTCCAGCACGTAGTGGTCGATCTTGCTGTCCTCGTCGGGCATCCTCCAGGCCAGGGTCACACAGTTATCGGCCACCAGCGACTCGGCCAGGTCGATCTCGGGGGCGCTGGGCACTGCCCGCAGGAGCAGCCGTGCCAGTGTCCCCCCCTCCCTGCCACGCAGGGGCTCCCCAGCACCCCCAGGGAACACCCAAGGGTGGGACCAAGGGGCTGGGGTTCCCAAGGGGCTGGGGCTCCCACAGACCCCACGGGCTCGGCAAGTCCCAGACCTCAGGCATGGCACCCACGGGACCCCTGGGGACCCCACCCGTGGCACCCAGAGACCCCCAGCACGGCCCCCACCGCCCCCTTGGGCACAGCATCCAAACCCTTCAGCCCTCCGTCCATCCCTGGCACCTTCCTGCCCCTCTGGGAAGGCACCCCAGGGCATTCCAGGGACCTGGCCCTGCCCTGCCCTGTCCCCCCGTGCCCCCCTGGCCTGGCAGTACCTGGCAGGAAGGTGAGGGCCTGCAGCAGGCGCCGTTCCTGGGCGAAATCCACCATCAGGTGGCTCATGTTATCGCTGACCTTGGCCTTGAGCGACAGCCGGAAGGCCGGAGCCATCGTCACACTGTGCCAGGACAGGGGACAGAGCTCAGCGGGGCTGGGCACCCATCCTGCCCTGCATGGCCCTGGGGAGGGTGGGCACAGCCACCCCTGCACCCACAGGGCCACCCCTGCACCTTGGGACCACCCCCTGTGGGGTCCTGGCTGGGAAGAGGAAGTGGAGGAAGAGGAGGAGGAGGAGGATGGGGTTAGTGGGTGGGGGCTCAGGGGGGCCGTACCTATCCTTGATCTGTTTGGCCGCCTTGTGAGCGCAGAGGGAAAGAGGAGGAGAAAAGCAGCAGTGAGGCAGCAGAGCCGGGCACAGGGGGGCACATGCGGGACCTGTACCAGCTGTGGCACCCAGCGGGACAGCATCCCTGCATCCCACAGCATCCCACAGCATCCCTGCATCCCACAGCATCCCACAGCATCCCTGCATCC